GTGTGATCCTGAGGTATCAACGTGATTGGGTAACAGGCATCAGAAGACCCAACGCAAACAAACAAACAAAATATGTTGTTGAGAACAAGGGGGGTCGGAGCAGAGACCCCAAACCCATCTATAGACAATGGGACATCCCCTCACAGAAGGGTCACAAGAAAGGAATGAGTTAACCAGGGCACAGCATAGCACCAAGGAAACACACAATAGTCCTCTGGTTCCTTGAGGCGTCCTCACCCCCCAGTAGCATGACCCCAGTCCTGCCTTTCACTGATAGACCGGAGCATGTGCACAGGTACAGAAAAGAGATAAGAGCTCACAACACACAGAATCCCGGAACAGGAATGGGAGTAGCGATACCAGGAGGTTACAGGGAAGGTGGGGAGAGAAGGGGTGGAAGGCAGAACTGATCGCAATGATGGACACATAACCACACACACCTCCTTGGGCACGAACAACTGCGGAGAAAGGGAGGCAGCAGTCAGTGCAAGATATGAAATAATAATTTATAACTTATCAAGGGGTCACGAGGGCGGGGGGTGGGGGAAGAGGAGCTGATACCAAGGCCTCAATAGACAGTAAACGTTTAGAAAATGGTGATGGCAACATATGTACAAATATGCTTGATACAATTGATATATGGATTGTGATAAGACCTGTAAGAGCCCCCAATAATATGATCTTTTAATTAAAAAACAATTAAATGCTGCATTACCTCATGTGAGTCTAAAAAAGATAGTCATTCCTGGTCAAAGTACTCAATGTATTTACCAAAGAGAACTCTAGGACATGAAAGAAATTTTCTACGCATTATACACCAAGGTATCAGATCAAAGAATCACATGAAGGTTTAAGGAGAAATGGAAGATGCAAGGTCATCAAATAAAACTCCAGGAGTTAAAGAATGTAGCATCAAAGATAAAAAACTAAAGACTTAGCATTAAAGTAAATTAGATGCTGCAGAAGAAAAGGTTGGTGAGCTGAAGACATAGTGGCTAAAACGATCCAAATGAAAACACAGTGGAAAAATATTGAACAACTTTTTAAAAGCCTCAGTGTCCTGGGGAACAATACCAAGAGCATATAATTGGAGTACTGGATGGGGGGCCAGGGAACAATAGGAAAGGATTTAAAGAAATAATGGCCAAATATTTTCCAAATTTGATGAAATTGGTAAACATATAGGATATTTGAAAAAACACTGCAAACCAACATGATCCAGTTGACACGTATAGAACATTCATTTAACATCAGAGTACACATTTTTAAGTGTACATGAAGCATTCACCAAAATAAACCCTGTGATAGGCCTTCAAACAGGACTCACTATATTAGTAAGACAGAAATCGTATCAGGAAATCATCTGGTCTATATACTAAAAATGACAGAATATTGCTGAAAGAAGATTTTAAAATACTAAATGATTGAAGAGACTTTATGAATCAAAAGGCTCAGTATCGTTAAAGTATCCATTGTTTTCAAATTCATCTACACATTTAATTAAAATACCAGAAACGTTTCCTATAGAAACCAACAAAGTGATTCCTCTAACGCAGTCTTTGAGTTTTCCTTGCCCAGGAAGACTCTTACTTCTCTATCTTGAAAGATAATTTGGCTGGATGGACTATTCTTGGGTTTGTGTTCTTTTCCTTCAATTTTCGGAACATGTTGCTCCACTCTCCCCTCTTCTTCAGTGTCCAGTGCTAGGTCTGAGTATATTCTTAGGTGGGTGACTTTATGGGTGACTGCCTTCCCCCCCTCACAGCTCTATGATTTTCTCCTTTTCCTCAAAGTTTCACTACGATGTGTCTGGGCAACGTCTTCCTGGGATGCTGTCTAGCCGGGTCCTCTTTGCTTCCTGAATGACTACCTGAACAAACTGATTCCAAAAACCATATGAAGATAGAAAGGAGTTAGAATAGCCAATAAACTTTGAAGAAGAAAAATAAACAGAGTGGAAGGATATATATTACTTGGTTTCATGGCTTAATTTACAGCTACATTGATCAAGACAGTGTGTTACTTGTATAACCATAAACACTTAATAGGATGGACCAGAGAAGAGTGTCCAGAAACAGACCTGCACCCATATGGTTAACAGACTTTTGACAAAGATAATTCTATGGAGAAAGGACAGAATTCTCAACAAATGATGCGGAACAACTGGGAAAAAATCACCAACATTAAAATAGCAAAAGATTATGCAAATAAATACAACATTATAATAATTTTTAAAATCTAGAAGTAAGCATGGGAGGGAATCTGTATGATCAGGGGGCTAACAACGATTTCTTAGGACCTTGGGGAAAAAAAAGACAAATTGGACGGAATCAAAGCTAAAGATGTCTGTTCTTCAAAAGCACTGCCAAGAAAACGAAAGGCTAGCAACAGCTGGGGAGAACTATTTCCATATATGCCAAACAACTGGTGTCCATACATGTAGAGAGTACGCACAACTTAACAACCCGAGGGAGACATGATGTTTTAATAGCTTCTCCATGAGGATGATAACATCAACGGCAAACGTCACATGAATAAGATGCTCCACCTTATTAACCATCCGGGAACGTCAAAGAACCACCATCCACATGGAAAGGCTGAAAGAATACAGGCTTGTAAGTTCTGATGGGGAGGTGGGCAACGGCCACTCTCATACAGCGTGACTGGAATGAAAACACAGGACATCTACTGCGAGGGATGGACATGGATAAACGAGACCGAAGAAGAACTCGTGCCTTAGAAGGGCCATGGGCTACCAGAAGGACAAATCGATCTGTCTTGGAAGAAGTACAGCCAGAATGCTCCTTGGGAGCAAGGGGAATGAGACCTGGTACCTTGCCCTTTGGTCACGTGATCAGGAGAAACCAGTCCCTTGAGAAGGACATCATGGTTGGTAGAGTGGAGGGTCGGTGAAACGAGGAATGCCTTCTAGGCGGTGGACTGGCCCGTGGGGGCTGCAGCAATGCGCTCAAACACAGTAACCGTGGTGAGGCTGGCACAGGACCAGGGACAGTTTCACTCTGTTGTGTAGGACAGAGGGTTGCTGTAAGTCAGAATTGATTCACAGCACCTAACAATAACTTTGGAAAACAAGGTAGCGCTTGGTCATAAAGTGAAACATACACTTGGTATATGACCCAGCAATCCTACTACTCCTAGATACTGACCCAGAGAGACCACAGCAGATGACCCCTGAAATGCACATAGAAGACACGGTGAATGTTGATAGTCGCTTCATACATAAGCACCAACACCCGGAAGCCACCTAAATGTCCCACAACCAGGAAATGGGTAAGCAATTATGGTCAATCCATTCAGAGAGCACCACCCGGCAACAAAAATGAACGAACTAAGTCCAACACTCAAAAAGGGTGCTTGTCTATGACACCTTTCATTAAACTCTCCCACTGCGTTCCGTCCATGCCGGCTCACTGCGACCCTTTCGGCCAGAGCAGAACTGCCCCTGGGAGTTTCCAGGACTGTACCTCTTTAAGGGAGTAGACAGCCCCATCTTTCCCCAGAGGAGAAGCTGGTGGTTTCAAACTGCTGACCTTATGGTTAGCGGCCCAACACGTAACCACTACACCACCAGGGCTCCTTCAAAATAAACTCTAGAAATGAGAGCTGCCTGGGCAAAGAATGGGAGGTGCTGATGGGGGAAGGGTCCCAAGAAAAACTTTGCCGAGGTGGCAATGCTGCCCATCTTGACTGGGTGAGGCTTGCAGGTGGGGAGCGCACGTCTTTAGCAAAGTTCATACAGCCATGCGATTAAAATTGTACATTGCGTTTTATACTATTAGATGCACATTTTATCTCACAAAGTTGATATTTTAAAAATGACTACAACACAGAGGTGTAACTGGCAGGTGAAGGGGGGTTAGGCGCTAAGGGGTCCGGGACACGGCAGCAGGTGGGGAAGCACAGAGTGGGCTGGGGCTGGGGAGAAGGCAGAGACTCTTAAGGAGTAGCAGGGCTTCCCTCTGCAGAGTCAAGGCAAACACTGGTCCATGAGTTAAGTAAAGGGGTCATCGTCAGAGAAGGCAGTGCCTGCCTCAAAGGTGGGGGCGTAGGAAAGAACGTGAGACATCGTGTGATATGTGACCTGTTGGGGAAGGTGGCCCATGGATGGCCATGGCCCTAGTAGTCAGGTAATATGCGCACGGAGGATCCCTTCGTCTCTCAGCAGGGCTTCCTGCATGTAGCATCACACACATGTAGCATCACACAGGGGCTGGTGTATCTCGCCCTGCCCCAAGGTCACAGGGAGGCCACTTCCATCTTGACTCCTGTGTCCCTTGCCCTCCTCAGACAGAGCTCAGCTCTCCCTGGGGAGAAATACTTCATGGGGCACGTGTTCCCATAGGCCCTCCCATGCCCTCTTGGAATGTTTTATTTCCAAAGATAGTGAGTTTCCCTCCTTTGCCCTTGAAGCCAATTCCTCTCTACTGAGCCTCTGCTGGATGGACTGATCCTGTGTGGCCCCACAGAGAGACTGGCGCGTGGACCTGCGAGCTGGCACCCCTGGGGCATTTGTGGAGGAGTCCTGGGAGGACATTGGGTGGGAGGGTGCTTCCCAGGGCCCTAAAGACCAGCCAGCCTAGGGAGAGCCCCGGCAGAGGGCCAGTACTAGAGACCTCCTAGGTGGGAGCTCAGGGACCCTCTGTGGCCAGTCGGCCTCCCCCTGCGCTTTGTGAGTAACGAGTTCAGAGAGTATTTGTGTCTGGGTAGACCGACGTCTGTCCAGAGCCTGTGTGCCCCGCCAGAGACTGACAACGCAAAGCAAAGCATCAGGGGAGTTTATTTATGTAAGCACTGACAGGTTGGAGACTGAGACCAACTTGGGGTGCGGGGGAGCTCCCAGAAGGTTAGGGGGCAAAGGTCACAAGGGAAGCATAGAGCTATGCAGGGGTCCAAGTCTCAGGGAGGGGCAGCTCCAGGCCTGAGTGGTGCACAGAAGGCAGCCATGGGGGCATCTGGAGCTGGCCCTGGGGAGTGCCTGGTCAACAGCAGCATGAGGTGCCACAGCAGGCCGGGCGGGGACACGCAGGGCGGCAGAGCAGGGACATGGAGGAGGAGGCTGGGGCACAGCAGGCGGGCTTGCACACAGGCTGGCAGATGAGGGACATGCAGGAAGAGGGTTTGCAGCAGGAGGGGCCACAGGGCTGGCAGCAAGAGGAGGATGAGCAGGGGCTGGCCCCACAGCAGAGGGGCCTACAGCATACAGGTGTGCAACAGACAGGCTTGCAGCAGACAGGTGTGCAACAGACAGGCTTGCAGCAGACAGGTGTGCAGCATGCAGGCTTACAGCAGACAGGCCTACAGCACACAGGCTTGCAGCAGACAGGCCTACAGCAGGGGCAGGATGAGCAGCACGTAGGCTGACAGCAGGAAGGCCCACAGGAGCTGGCACAGACTGATTGGCAAGGGGTGCAGACCAGAGTCAGGCAAGGGGCTGGGGCACAGCAGCTGGGGGCACAGCAGGAGGACTGGCAGGAGGAGGGGGCACAGCAGGAAGACTGGCAGCAGCTGGGGGCACAGCAGGAAGACTGGCAGCAGCTGGGGGCACAGCAGCAGGACTGGCAGCAGCTGGGGGCACAGCAGGAGGGCTCACAGTAGCTCTCAGGGCAGTCGTCCACCTCCCAGGAGGAGCTGGTGCAAGACTCAGTGGAGCCAGGCAGGCAGACTCGGCTGCCATAGCTCAGGTCACTGGAGCAGACGGACATGGTGGATGCGGCCATGGTGTGTGGATGAAAGAGGTGGTGAGAGGGATGAGTGAAGGAGGGAGAGACTGAATGAGTGAGTGAACAAATGAGTTGCTCTGGGACTTTTATACCCCTCTGTGTTGTGTGTTGTCCCACCGGAGGCTGCATGATGCTCTTCCCCTTCCTGCTTGGTGTCCCAGTCCGCTCCACGGCCTCAACAGGGATGTTTGTTTGATGGGGATGTTGTTCAGCCTATAAACTCTAGAAGGGGTCTGAGCCTCAGTGCCCTGCTGGGATCTGTGGCCCCACGGAAGTAGGAGCAGGGAGCCTGGTTCTAGCCTGGTTTCATGGGCAGGGGGTCACGGAGGGCAGCGGAGGGTGGCGATGTCCTTCTTCCTGCTTCATGTGCTCAGAACATGGCCCAGTCAATAGCCAAACCAAAAAACCACAATCCCTCAATGCCCTCAATTCCACTGTGGCTCATAGCAACCCTGCAGGACGGAGCAGAACCGCCCCTGCTGATGAGACTGCAACTCTTTACAGCAGAAGAACCCCAAGTGCTTCTGCCCCTGACAGGCGGGTGGGGTGCAACTGCTGACTTTGTCCCTAGCAGCCTAACATAGCCCCAACGCCACCGGGGCTCCTCCCAGTCCGCAGTGGACATCTATATGAATCCAAAGTTCTGCTAAGTGCTTTCCCAATGGGTTAAACACCAATAGGGTGGGTGTTCTTTATCCCCTGTAAAGACCAGGTCATTGCCACTTTGTGAAGGGAGACCTCGAGCTCCGGACCACAGTTTATGACTATACCTTAATATCTTGACCTGGAACTCTGAATGCTTTCTCACGGCCAAGGCCTCTCTCTCTCTGGGCCTGGCTCAGTGTATCCATTATCTCCGCGGCCCTTCTGCTTGGGAGAGAGCAGGAGCTCTTCGTATTCTAGGCCATGTTGGGCACGGTTGGCACCCCCCATAGTCAGACACAATGATAATGTCTTGGGCCTTTGGTTTTGGGTTTCTGAATCACACCAGTGGCCGTGCTGGAGTGTAGGTGGGTGATTAGCCAGCATCAGGGAGGAACACATGATGGATAATTGACTCGTCATCGGAGACTGGATAAGGATAAGCTAGAGAGATTAAAAAAAAAAAAAAAAGATCCTAGAGGCCTAGCGTTAGGGGGACCCTACATATCCCTAAGTTTTCCCTCAAGGAGTTCCATCAGGGACTCTGTGTGCGAAGCTCAGAGAAAAAAATCACTTGAGTTCGCAGCAGGAGGAAAGGAAAAATAACCACTTAAAATGTGCCCAGTGTATTCTGTCCTCCTTATTAAGGGGCTGTCCTCAAAGAAAATTATTTTCCCAGAGCCTAATCCACGTGAAAGAAAGGGAACCCCCAAGTGCAGGCCCCGCTAACCGTCCTGACTCACCTCAGGGGTGGGGGAAGATGCCGAGAAACACTTGAGACAGTCCCAATCAGGGGCACAGGCTCGCCACCCCAAAACCGAGACTTAAACATATAATCATAAATGACTTCTGCTTCCACATTGTACTGTCCTATCAGTGGGGCGCCTGTGTAAACGGAGAGATTACAGTTGAAGCGAACGGAAAAACTCCACACTCAAAAAATGCATCTTGCCAGCACCTACGCCTATGCTTATGTTTTTAGTCTCTCTCTCTCTCTCTCTCTCTCTCTCTCTCTCTCTCTCTCTCTCTCTCTCTCTCTCTCTCTTTCTCTCTCTCTCCTAATAACGGAATTTCTCCACGACCCTTCCCCAGTGTTCTCAATCATCTCCACATCTCTGTAGATTTCTATATGGGCTTGTGTGTTTAGGTTCTGTTGGTGTCCCACACCACCAACTTTGTGGCTCAGAACAGCCCACATTGAGTATCTCTCAATCTCTGTGGCTCAGGAGCCCCAGTCACAGACTGGGTTCTCTGCAGGCCTCTCATGAGCGTCTTTCATCTGAGATTCAACGAGGGAAGGATCTTTCCATGCTCATGTGGATGTTGACAGGAGTCTGTTCTTTACAGGTTGTTGCGATGAGGACCTCAGTCTTGGCCGCCTGTTGGCTGGATGCTGCCCTCAGCCCCTTGCCGGGCAGCCTCTGCCCCACAGGGAGCTCACAATCAGGGGGCTCACAAGACAGGCCTTGGGCTTACATAATGTAATCCCATACATATTTAATGGTGATTCCCATGACCATGGGTGTATTCTATGTAGCTTCTTGCAAGTCACAGGAGCCTCCCACATGCAAGGACAGGACACCGCCCAGACCATGAACTCCAGGAGATGGAGAGCATAAGAGTCACTCTAAAGTCTGTTTCCCATGGTCCTGTTGGCGGACACTCACGGCTGTGATCACTGGACACATACAGTCAGTTGTCAGTACTCACTGAGTTAGAATTCCAGGTCTACCACGAAGGGCGTGCAACAGAGCAGCAAGGGGAGCAAAGCAATGAAGTCCCTGAGGAATCCCAAAATAGACTTCAGGGGCAAGGCTTGGCACCTTATCAGACTCAATCGGAAAACATCCATAAAAGTCAACAGACAGACCCCCCCCCCATGTCTATCTATATAAGATATATTGGATAAACACTCCTGAGGAGAAAATAATGGGGCCAACAGCTCCAGTGGGATATAGGAGAGGAGGAGGTGGGGAAAGGGGAGTGGGAGTCTAGAAAAGCCAGGGACAAGGGAACAAGAAGGGATCTAAAATCAATA